CCCCCGCAGAAACGACCGGGATTCGGTGGTCAGATCCGTCTTGTGGCCGCCAATGGACCGGGCGAGGAAGCAGCCGACGGGATGGCTGACTACGAAGGGATATCCGTACTAGGTGGACATTAGTGTTGCTTCGCATCACTGGGACCCGAGAGAGTTGAATGATACCATTCTCAGAGTTCCCAGGGCTATCCGTACGTCGCCACAGTACACGTACGGATATCCGTCCAGGAGCTGAGATGTTGGATGACGACCGAACACGCCCCCTCAGGCTGTTGCTCCGAACTGTCAAGCCAAGGAATGTTCCTGGTCTGAGCCCGTGAGGCCCCTCCCTCCCAAAAGGGTCTCTTGGCCCTCGATATGCTTGATTATCAGCCCCATCCATGCTGACACGGGATGTCCCATGGCATCTGTGACGTGAGTCGTCGCAGCCACCGATCTCCAAGCGAGAAGGGAAGCCTCCGCCAGTCGTGCTCAAAAGCTTATCGACAGGAATAGCTCCAACGTCCATGTGAGATGATGGAATAGCGATTGGAATGGGGTCCCGTTGACCTTCGTCCCTTCATCCGTTGTGTCTTTTTAAGCTTGTCATGGCCGTTTCCGCGCGCCCGCGCCCGATGCTTTTGCGCGCGACCAGTCACCAGTCGTCCCGTTGCGCTCTTGGATGCCCGCTGCCCGCCCTCTCTGTTCTAATTCTGTCCGTTTGAAGACGGCAACCACCTTTCCTGTCAGACTTTCCATCTTCCTACCTTATCCAAAGACTTGGGATGCGCCCGTGAACGCTTTTATTCCGAGATCGACAACCTTGGGCCACGAGGGACACAAGCTTCCTGTTGACGCGCCCGAGCGTGCGAGAAGCAATCCCGTTATACTCTATGCTCGCCGTGCCTGGATGATGTATCAAACCTGCGGGTGAAGATGATGCTCCGGTTTGTCGAGCTGCTTGCTACCCATGTACCCGTAGGTGTTCCTACCCCCTCCCCGCCGGCAGGAATGTGGGATCCGCCCAACCAGCCAGACCCAATTTCATGCAAGCTGGCAAGGGCTTCTTTGACAGTGCTGTTTCATTCGGCTTGTTGACCGCCTATTGCCAATGACTGCCGCCGCAGACCCAATCCTCTCCGCATCCTTTGCCGGACCCAGTTGTTTGGAGGCACCGCTGCTTGAAAAGTGTAGTGGGTACGAATACAGATTCAAGATAAACACACGAGTGGCTGTCCACCGTTTCCAAACGTTGTATTACGTAGTACTTCGGGAAAAGAGTGCGAGGTACGGATAGCCTGCCAATCTGCCTGGCCAGCGGAAGCTAATCGGTAAATGGTAACATACATGCGTGTCTTGGGCCCGGACGTTGACAGCTAGTATTACTGATACCGTAGCAAGCCGCGGCTGACGGTACATTAAACGGGTAAGAAGGTGCGTCTGCTGTCGTTGCCGCCATCGTCACACTGCTTCCTAGCCTCTGTCGTTGAGCTTGCCTGACTTTAAGCTATGCGATGCGATATTGCCAGCACCCGTCCTTGGATTGGTGGTTACATTCGTGTCACATGGCGTGCCTACTTCCAATTTGTCCTCGTCCGGTCTCTTCAACCATGGCCCATAACACAGTCTCTTCGGACAATAACCAGGGCTAGGTGATTCTGACCGGACGGGTGGATAACTTTGCTGAAAAGACAAGAAGTCTCACGGTCTTGAGGTGGGCAGGCAGAGTACTTGCCAGCCGGAACCACCAAATCTCTTTGCTCTTTGCGGGGTTGCACACCATTCTGCTTGCTGCCCATCACGCTACCCAGGAGCTGTTCCCTCCCGGCGGAGATACCGAATGGCACCTCGAATCCAGAAGGCGGTCGATGGCGTCTCCTGAGCACCGTGATTGACCGAGGCTGGGCTTGTCTGCAACTCGGGGTGCTGCAACGATGCTTGTGGTGTAACCTGCGCTGCACATGGTCCGTTTCGATGCCTCTCAAGAGGGTGTAGATGGAGGTGAGGAGAGCTCGGAGAAGGTGCTACTTTCGACAGAACTCCGTCGAGGCCATGCTGGCGGGCTAGTATATCCGTAGGCTTCTCGGCTATCATCCAGTGGTATTCAGATAAACTGCGCTCTAGATTCGCTTCGCGGATGGAACCTGGCAAGTTACCACTCCGGGCTGTCATGTTTCATCTGGGCCGACAAGCCTTGGGAAGCTCGAGCCAGCTTGCCAGGTACGCCAATCGCGCCATCGACATTCAGTCTGCGGCCCGTTGTGGATAATTCTTGACAACTCTCCCGAGAGGAAACACGGTTTTCCTGGGCTTGTTTAGAAATCTGATAGAATAGTTGATTTAGCAAATCGTTTTAGCACCACACCGGAGTGATGACCGGCTGCTGGTGCTTGACTCAACGGTGGAAACCAGTCACATACCAAACCTCAAAGCTTGGCTATTAATATTCAGACAAAAAAGTGCGGAGCCGATCTCACCTATCCGCAGATTCGGCATTCGGTTGTGATCAGATGCGTCGGCTCCACGGCTCCTTTAGGATAAACGTCCTGACTATAGCTTATGCTCTTAATCCGCGGCAACAAGAGCCATTGACGATCAAGGGGTGGACAAGGGATAGCGTAGTCGAGGAGGGTCCTATCGTGACCAGACCAAGTCAAATTGATAAGTGTCGGTCGCATGCACAAACGCGGACGTACGACAAACGTCAGCAACTCTATCGTCGTCCCGATGCCCCGTGGTCTTGTTCTGAACTTGAAGCGATTGCCATGATACTGTAACCTTGCTGACATGGGCTTGTCCTATGGGCCCCCTGCGTGCTCACAGTCCCCATGGCCCCGGTCAGGTAAATCCTCTTGTCTGCGATTGACACGGAATCAATGGCGGCGATCTGTTGAAGAGGCGCTGTACGACTCGGGGATCGCGTTACATTGCTGCAAACATACCGTCCCGGCCGGAACGCAGCGAGTCGTGAAATGGATCCAATCTGCTTCTGTACAGTACAGCCGCACCATGTACGCGAGCACCTGCCGTGTTACCATCTGCCACTGATCTGCGCTTTCGTCACGCAGCCCTCTACCGTGGCTCGGGAAAGCTAGCCAAGTTGCGAACCTCCGAAGTAGAGGCCGTGACTGACCGAATCACCAATCCACGAAGCGGCGACTTCTCCGCGACTTGCACCAATCGTCAGTCACCCCCGTGGGACCCTTGGTAAGTATTCAGTGGTACGGCGACCGACCTACGGCGGAGGAAGGATGTGGATGGTGCTGAGAAGGATGACTAGAACGCCCCGTCTTCTACGTAGCTGGAGGAAGCGAAACATTGACTTTAACCGTCGAGCGATATCCATACTCTTTCCCCCTTCTCCAAGACGACTCCGACCTAGATATTAGCGTCGGCATGTTGGATGGTCGAAGAGCTTCGTTCAAAATGAATAGAAGGGATACCGATGTTTGCGAGAACAACCTTCAAGATGCAATTGTTGATGCGGACCTGTGGGGTAGTCACCGGGTCCGACCACGCCAATGTGGCATTCGCACAAAGTACCCGCAACATGCGGAAGACGTCCCAACCCCATGGCGAACAAGCCCTGTCGAAGCTTTCGGGGGTAGAATGGCGACATGGCCAGCTCTACCTGACATGGGAGTCACTTGTCCTGGGTTGTCCATCATAATTGACCGACGTTAGCCATCGTGCGGCGCAATAGAACCAGAAAGCCATTGTGAGTGCTGTCGTCCTTGTGTGATGTCGAATGCGCCACAGTAGAGGGCCAAGCAAGCCAAGGGGTCGTAAACCTCATTTGCGTCTTGTGTTTGCTTGTCGTGGATGTGATGAGCGTGTGGTTGGCCGTTGTGTGCCGTGGTACATAGCGGAAACGTACACGCAACCTGACCGGGCGCATGGGCTTCGGGAAGTGGGATGCGGCGTGCTCATGGATGCATCCCCGGCCCACGCGAGTGGTGGCCCTCTCAAGAAGGCCATCAGGAGGGGGAGGGATCGTCTCTTGCGGCACGACTTTGCCCAGGAGAGGCTAGGGGCGCACTCACGCACTGCGGGCTAGTCTCCTCTCCCTCCTAGCTCATCTAGCTCATAAGCCTGTGCAATAGCGCACTGCGTGCTGCAGGAGCATATTTTGACAAGGACAGGGCCTCACTGGGCCCGGGGCAATTAACCAGTTCTCGACACATGATGGCGGATGCGGAGCGTTCCAGGGCGGGAAGACGCGGTTGGCGAGATCAAATCTTGCGCAACCACGATGATATCGACCACCGCCGGGGGACTTGAAGTCTTGCTATTGGCCTTGTCGGCTTGCTCGCCCTCGGCTGACTGACCGAGCAAGAGCCCATGCATGTGTCACGATGCATTGAGACATGTACCGTTGGTATAGGTATACCTACTTATAGTTGATGGGGGTTCATAAAGCAGACAGGAACTGAGGGCTCCTAGCCCAGCCGAAGTCTATCCGTACCGGTAGTGTGCCGTGTAGGTATCTGTGTCCGTACTCCGTACACTACCCATATGGAGTCTGTCACCCGTGGCATGATGGTTGCGAGGCTACTCTGCCGTGACGGGGCCCAGTGCTACGCCAGAGGCGTGGCAGTCTGGCAGAAAGTCGGAAAAGAAACGAGGGACGTGGGAGTCCTGGCGAGCATGTCGGAGGAAATTTCGGGCCATCGGCAGCGATTTCGATGTTTTCTGCTGGGGCGGCCTGCTAGAGCCATGCAAAGACCAGCCGCTCTCGGGGCTCAAGCCGAAAGGATGCTGTTGGGCAGGCCACTCGCTGAAATGCTCTTCCAACGGTGGACACTGGGCCGTAACCTTAGCACCTACGTAGTAGGTGTCCGTAGTGCCAGCTTAATTTGACAATGGCATGTTGGAGAAGCCGAACCTGCCTAGCTAGTTTCCCAGTATCCACGGTATCCAAGCGGGAACTTGGCCGTTGCAGATATACCCCCGGGCAACTGACCGAAGTCGAAGGGCTTCGCATTGGAGCAGTGAGCAGCGAATCTTTTCAAGACCCGCGGGCCAAGGCAAGCCGCAAGATGACATTGGGACGCTGCCGGTTCGTGGGTTCGCTGTCAACGGTTCGAGGCCAGGCCTGGCCATCCTGTGGCCCTGTCACCCAGGGCACTAGCGTTGACGACCCCCCCGGCGATGTTTCCCCTGGCGAGCGACATCCGTGCGTGTTCTCCGTCAGGAACGGAGCTTGTGGGACATGATTCGGGGAAATTGGATGGTCGTGACAGGGCGAGGATATGATTCTCGATGGAGCCACTTTAAGGGCTCTTGGGAACATCCGGATGTTGCCGACTGATCAGGAGTTACGGGGACGGAATCCCTCGAGTCGAGTGGACTGTGGACATGAGCTTGTCAATCTGCGGGCTCGGTAGCACTGCCACTAGCCCAGGAGGCGGTCGTCATCAAAATCCCCGGCTGGCGGAACCCCCTTCGCTGAATCTTGCCTGGCTTGCCCAGTTTTCAAGAGATCATGGCTTCTGGTTGCCAAAACCAGACGAACGTGGCGAACGGGAAGGAATGATACACGTATTGCTCAACTGTTTGGTAGGACGTGCCAGCGAAACCTACATGATGAGGCAGTCTACCTAGTCATTGCACTTGTAAGTATCCGTACTGATACCTATGTTCTTAAAGACCCCGAGAAGACGGATACCGGAACCAAGTAATGGTTGGCGGCGTGGGGCCGACGGATCCTGGATCGGCAGAAGCAGGGCGAGAGTGCAGAAGCAAGTTGCCGTAGCGTGGAAACTGTGGGTGTGCGGATACCTTCACTGCGTTGTGTGAGCGTCTTTGAAGGTAGTTGGGTGATGTGCTTTGTAGTTTTTGTCGGACTTAAAGCGGCGTTCGATGCTAGAGCTGTCCGCTGACGATCTGGAGACAGATGTGTGGGTTGCAGTGGTGGCTTTCCAGCCATGGCAGTCCGGCGTGCCGTGCAAGACTGCTGATGTGCAGCCGGCACTTCGAATCCCAAGAGCTAAGAGCGGGCGTGCGGGCTGGTTGCTTCGGCAGGCCAGGCGATTGGGAAAAGTCTAATTGTGTTCGGTTGAGGCCGTTGAAATAGTCGGGTGGCTCGCTCGCACATCGGCTTGCGTACGAAGTATTGGGGTGTGGTGTATCGGTACTGTATTGCTTCGTACATACTGCGTAAGGTATGCGAACGTGGGCGCGCGACGGAGAGGGGGCCATGGGGCCAGGCATGATCCATGAGCTTGCTACCGTGGTCTCTTGTGATTTGCGACCTATAGGATCTGCCGGCTGTGCCAGATACTTCGTGTAGACCTGGGAAAAAGATAGATGGCTGCCAGCCGTGGTCAAGGAACTGATGCACGTCTCTGAATCGCCGACGCAGATCCCAAGCCGCAGGTTGAGAGCCTGCCAGGTCCTAGAAAGAAAGGACGACAGACATACGCATCGTGTTGAGCAATTTAGGGCGGGCAGACAGTGAAGAGGCGTCAGTGGTGAGGGACAGATAGAGAGAATGGCAGAGGCGCAACATCAAGCCATGACCATGTCGTCCGGCACGGTGCGGGTTCGAGACTCCTTGAATTGGACTCGGAAGCAGCAAGTGGTACTCGTACGTTGTAAGTTGGTGGCAGATCGACGCCCAACAACTCAACGCGTTGAAACTCAGGGTTCGGCTGAGCTTCCGGCATATGCGCAGCACTTATGTTGCTCTGGAGCATCTTCATTCGTGGCTTCTCCCTGATTCTTGAGTTGGAGCAAATACCTGTAGCCGACGACGAACCATGGCTTGATGTCGATTTGAATGTAAGTTGCCACGGATAGGTTTGCCGTGTCTGGTTCGTACACCATGTGGGACATGCGGAAATGTGGCCGTATGTACGGAGTACAGAGTACTCGCAAGTATCCGAACAATAGGGAGTCAGGGACGGTTGATAGGATTGGAGAGGGCGGAGAAGTGCCCGCGTGGGTAGTTGAAAGGATCCGTCAGAAGAGAGAAGTTGCTGAACTTTGAAGAGGGTGGACTTTGAGGGATGTGGGATCTGGCAGAAAGAAAGAATGGAACAAAGCGAGTAGTTGGGATCCAGTCAGCCAGTCTGATTCGACGGTAGCTCCAGCGCCCAGCGTCCAGACTCGAGTTCCAGATCAACTTTCATATTGGCATATCAAGCTCCGGCTGCAGCTGTTGCGTCGTCTAGGGCCGGGGTTGGCATGGTGGGTTGATACTCCGTACTGACTACTAAGAGGTCGAAGTCGAGTCTGAAGATGGAGAGGAAGGAGACCGAGTTAGCACGGAGCTGTGGATGTGTACGGAGGCACATCGGAGGATCTCCCTGTCAGAGGAAGGTGTCTAGTCTGTTTCGGGGCTAGTGGCGTACGTAATCCAGACTCCAGACCTCAAGGCTCCATAGTACGTAACTACGTACATGCTCCATATTAGGTGCCCCACTATCATGGAGGGAAGCTGGGAAGGAACACTTAGACTCCAGTCTCCAAGTCGAGGAAAGAGTGAACTGTTGGAGTCTTTCAGTTTTTTGCAGCATTCCTGCCTGCCTTACCTAAGCTTAAAGTGTCTGGGTACCCTCCAAGTGGCCCTAGAAGTACTCCGGTACTTCGTACGGAGACTGGCTCATCTCAATCAATCACACCAGTGCCACAAATCCGGAATCGGGAAAGCACCCACAACGAGTCCACGACACCCTCCCACTTCACCTGCTTGGCGGTTGGCCTTGCACGACTCCGGCACCGGTGACCGGTGTCCTGGCCCCTGGGATCATGGAAAGACGGCTAAAGTTGAACAAACCCCTACAATACGGATACAGACAACAGAGAGTACGGAGCACACTGACAATGAACCTTGATCCATTGGCGCATAAGGCTCAGGAGATTAGGCAAGTGCCGTCTGCCGAGTGCTATTGGCTCCAGGCGCCGATCTCACAGTCAATCTCATCGAGAGAAGTAGTACCTGGATACTACGGCTTACACGCATGCAAGGTACATTTTTTTTTCCTCTCTGCAATGGTACCTCAGGCCATTATTGCAGCGTTCCATCTCATCGTCACTGCCCACAGCAGGATGGTATAGCCAAAGTCTAATGCCTTCCATTTTCGAGTGGAGGAAGTAAGCGCAAAGAGATTTTGATATCAAAATGCTTGGTTGATACTGGAAGTGCAACAGGACGCAGGTAGGCGGGAGGTCTAGGTACCTTCCTCACAGTATTAGACACGGAAGTACATCCACCCGTCCACCCGTCCACCCGTCCACCCGACCCGACGACTCCAATCCAGGTACCCAAGTACCTAGGTATCTCGGGAGGAACGTACTCCGTATTCTTACCCAAGTCCCCATCCATCGCGCACTTCCCCCACTTTTCCATCGTCTCACTTCTTGCCTCAGTCATAAGGCCTTATTCAGGGACTCAGGGCAGGTGCCAGCCAGGGACTCACCTCACGGAAGGCTCAAGGTGACAGCGACCCTGAGCTTTGAGAGGCACGTACCCCGTAAAGAGAACACCTCAATTGGGAATGCTGAGTGGGGGAGGAGTGGCAGACAGGAGACGGGCGGGCATTTCCCTCTCGACAAGTCAACCATTCAACCACCCTTCTTCACACTTTGGTGGCCCTCCCAGCATTCAGTTCTGGCCATCCTCCATTCTCCCAGAACAGAGATCCAGAGTGTCAGACTCCTACCTAGTCTCCTACCATGCCCCAGGGGGGACGATCTTGTCCATCTTCATCCCACTTGCAGCAAGCCTCCCTGCTCCTCAACCAACCAAATGCCGACCTGTTTGTGCGGACTGCGGATACCGTATACAACGGCGAATCTAGTGTAGCCGACGCAAAATTGCTCTCCATCCCGGCATCCAGCATATAGCATCCAGCCTCGATACTGGGAGTCCCTCCCTAAGCCCTCTGCTATTGCAGATACACAGTAATAATCCTCGAGTAATCGTACCAACGCTCGAGTCACTCCAGGCCTTCAGGGACGTCGAATCATGACAATGGACTGATGGTCCAATGGGCCAACGGATCCAAGGAGGCAACAAGCCTCGAAGCATCGAGACTTGAGTTGATATCCGTACCTCGCCCGGCACGGAGCATGCCGTGCTATTCCTAGCACCACCACCATCTTCTTTTTCATCGAGACCAACACCACCACTGTCGCTTGGGGCCGAGAGGGGAACAAACTCTGCTCGACTAACAAGGATCTACCAGCATGGATGCCACTTGTTTCTTTGCCGCCTTATCCCCAGTGCACGCACGATGGGCACCGGTACCGAGTAGAAACATGCCATTGGAGGCTCTGTTCTCAACGATCAAGAGGCAAAAAGTAAAGGGGGGGGGGGGGGGGGGGGGGGGGGGGGCTGAAGAAAACTCTTTCACGCCAGCACACCGGCTAGATCATCGCAGGGCATGCGTTTGTTACTTCACGGCCTTGAAGCTAGAGCTGTCCCCCTACTCACCAGACTCACAAGAGACACTACACTTTTCTCGTCTGTTCCAAATCGGGTACAATCAAGACGTTCCGTCCTCCCACTCGTCGCCTCTGGTTTGGGATTGGCATGATTTCGCCCGATTAATCAAAACAAGCAATAACCAAATGACTTTCTGGTTGTTGCTATTCTTGACATACTCTCAGTGAACCAGCTCAGCCCGGGCGCCAACGGGCCTGCGACTGTCAGACGAGCTTGGCTCCCGCTTTACTTCCTCTATACATGCGGGACATTTGGACTCAGACTCTCAACTCTATCCCTCCTCAGATGAACACTGATGGGCACCAATGCTTCTGTCTTGCCGCCTTATCCCGGGATTATAACGATTTGGGAGTCCAAGGCTGGCAGTCAGCCACAGCAAGGAGCCTGCCGGAGACGCTCTTGAAACTGCCGTTGATGAACTAGCACACAAGTTCAAAGCTGCCACCAACCAACCTTACTCTGGAGCGTATGCTCTTTGTTGGCCGTCGACTCTTCTCTCTCTCTCTCTCGCTCTCTCTCCCACCGTCAGCCACATGAAATAGAGCTACCCAATACCTATCTAGCGCCTCCGCAGGGAGAGTGCCGCCCCCTTCCCGCGAGACACAGCGCGCCATCTCCATTGTACACGCGACATCCATACACCAACAGGGACGGTGCCACGGCTCAACACCCTCCCGTGCAACAGCTTGGAACTCGGAGTCGAGGCCTGGTCCTGGCAATAGCTATAACCCCTGATTCTGTTACTAGCGATGAGCTGCACATGCCATGGTAGTGGCACCAGGAACTGTGTATGGTGGCCGTACGAAGTTGTGAACAACCAACTTTAGCCTTCACAGTCTTTACCCCAA